ACGCTTCGGAATAAATCTCTCCAGTGGCAGTACCGTCGAAATCGGTGATAGGTACGTCCAACTCCTTGGCGACCTCCTTCCAGACTGGTGTGGTAGTGATGCAGGACGTAATCTTGGAGACTTTCGGGTATCACTAATCTGGCCGTTACTTTTCTTTCGTCTCCCTCGACTTTTTGAACGGGACAATACAATAGTAGCCCCTCTTCACTTATCTCGTAGTCCCTGGCCATCTTCTTGCACGAGTGAGCGGTCTTCATTGATAGTTCGACGCAATCTCCCTTCAAGCAGGCCTTCAAATCTCGTACCCAGTCCTCTTGCTCTTGTGCCTCCCTGATTCGATCTGTTCGGTGTCGTTGTATCACACCCTCTTGCAGGATTTCCCCTGACATCTTGATGGGAGCTCGAGATCAACGTTTTACGTGCACGGTTCCTTGGGCAGGCCACGACATCAGCTTATTCAAAGCTCTTGCTCGTAATGGAGACAGTCCTGCAGCCTTACACTCGATCTCTCCCCGCATTTGTCGAACCACTAAGATGGAGTCTCCACATATAATCAGTCGCCGTCGTTCAAGAGGCTCTAACAGGTCGAAACTTAGTAGCATACCCTCATACTCGGCCTCATTCACTGTAGAGGTGATAAGGAACTTCGAGGCAGCCTTGACCACGGTCCAATCAGGTAATATCCATATAATAGCGCTACAGGCTCCACCTCCCTGTTTCACTCGGGCGGACCCATAAAAATTCATGTCGAATAACTCTTCGTCAGTCTCCACAGTTGCTGTTGGTAGGTCAACTACTTGCCGCGCCTGTTTCTTGGGGGCAATTGACGATAAAATCGAGTCCACACTTTTTCGAAAAGTAATACTGGCTGCGAGCTCCCCCAGCACTTGGTCCTCGCTCTTGCTGCACTTGACAATCTCCTTATCCCATTGGGACAAGAGGGCAGCCCAGTTATCAAGACGTCCCTGCAACCCCGTAGACCTGACTAGCCACGCCAATGTAGAATGCCTCGTCAGGACCTTGAGGGGTCTATTGACCAACATCGTAGAGCAAGTACCCATTACCCGCAACAAAGCCAGCACTTATTCTCCACAGTACTGTAGTTTTATTTGTTGGCCTAAGGGTCCGAATCGTAAAAGTCACCGGCATTCGAATGCCACCATGGTCTTGCACCAACGACGCGGATATGGCCCATTCGCTTGCATAAACGATAATTACTGCCTCCTTGGACGGATCAAAGTGTTTCAGAATAGGTTAAGTGGCAATCTTGTTCTTGAGCATAGCAAAAGCTACTTAAGCCCTGAACCATTTCTCCTCGTTTTCTGCCTTAGCCACCCCACTGTCACCCGTCCTCTCCAATCGTGAAAATCCACTTCTCGTAACTCATAGATGATCGATGCATATACTGCATAATCTTCAATGAATCTGCCGTAGTAATTCAGAATTCCAAGAAACGATTGCATGGCTTTGAGTGTCTTTCGCAACGGTAGGTGGACCAGGGACTGAAGGTTCTTTTGTGTGGGCCTCTAGTCCTTGGTCCGAGACCCGGTGCCCAAGGTAGTCTACCTCCCGGCACCCCCATAAGCTTTGACCGCGCTGATCGATCGAAATCGATCGATCAGCGCGGTCAAGAGCTTATTTTATAATAGTCACACACATCAAACAACCGCTCTACCTTTGCACACAACATGTCCCATGAGTCAGCCGGTATCAGAATATCATCTAGGTAGGACCGCTGACCCAGTACCGAGGATTTCGACTTTATATCAGGCTTCCCCATCGTAGAAAAGTCTTCGGTCTCCTCTGTACCCGCGTCTTTAGAAATACGTAAAAACCCATACAAAGAATTAACCAAGAGCCTCTAATATATCTAAGGCGCATTCTTGAGTCCAAATGGCATCCGCAGCCATTTGAACAACTTAACCACACCTCTTGGGTCAATGCCTCGTCATGAGGTGCTCGCACCTCGTTGTCCTCAAAGATAACATCCATCGATGACTTCACCCGACCCTCTAGGGTCAGTATCTCGTCGTTAGGTGCATGCACCTCGTTTTCCTCCACGACAACATCCATTTGTGACTTCTCCCGGCCCTCCAGGGTCAGTTCCTCGTAACTCATGTCACTTGGACTCATGTCCTGACCTTTTGTCTTGCAGCCACCAACACCACTCACGGTGTTTAATGATGTAACATCATTCTCATGACACATGTCATAAGTGCCATCTAGTGGGTTCTCAACCACACTATCGGCAGTCATTGGGCCTCGCCCAGGACTGTTGTCCTCGACACTTATAGTGTCTACAAAGTCGGATATTCCGACATCCAACATATTGACCGACTTAATCCAATATCCACGCCAAAAGCGCTTTTGCTTCCTAGCAGAGGTGGGTTCATGACTCTCCAGAGCCCCACCAGGAGCATTGCGTATTAAGCCTAAGGACTTCGACCTACAATCAATCCATGGCTCATGACGTTCTAGCCATGCCATGCCTAACATGAGGTCATACCTCGTATGACCAGGGCTAAGACCAAACAGCGTTCCATGCTGTTAAAGTCCAAGAACTTTACATTTATGTCCATCGGGACTTTGGGTACCGTTACACGCGTACCTGTCGCTAAGCGAACTGTGACTGTGTCACTTTCACGCGCTACAAGCGCTTCAGCATACTGCTAACTACCTTCCACGGTGGCAAGGCGCACATAATTGTCCGATGCCCCCGAATCGATCAAAATGATCCATGGCTTATCATACCCTTCACCGTCCGTTCAACGACTAGCAAGCCTGGCTTGCATTCTCGTTCCGTTTTTGAGAGTTCGGATCTCTTTGGGGCTGAGCCCTGTTTACTTCCACCTCCTAGAGGCTCAACAGGACTCAGTTCTTCCCCAGTAGGGCGCCCGATCCTACTGAGTTCCGCTGTTTCTTCGCAGAAAATTAGAAGGTTTACCCATGGGACGTCGACCCTTCGAGGCCAAATTTGCCTTCTTGCAGGGCATTTTGCCATCAAATGGCCTGTGCTCTTGCAGATATAACATCTGCGCACAATTTGCCGCTCCGCAGCATGAAGCGCAGCTTCTTCATCCTCCACTTGACTACAGTCCACGGGAATCGACCTATCAGACGAGTAGTTATAAGTGGCAGGCCTAGCGGCCTTAAAGTTGGTCTTGGCATTCCATGCCACTCCAACAGCTTTCTCGAATGAGGACGATATACCCGGAAGACTTCCGTTCTGGCAACGCCAACTCGGAGGCCCTCCATGAAGACCGTGACGGTCACTGCCTCAGGCATAGGGTCTATGACCATGGCAGCAATGAAAGTTCTCAACTCTTGGACATATGCCGCAATCTCTCGCTTGCCTTGGCGACACACCAAAAATCGCGACCGGTTACGTGTGCTTGGTTTGGCGGTGCAAACTGCCGGGTCATCTGAACTTTTAGATCGGCCCATGCGGGAAAAGCATCTTGCAATGATGCACCACATGTGAATGCCCACTGTTTCCACATGGTACGGTTCATAGGTGATGTCGGCCATAAACATAGCCGACTTGACCTGTCGGAACCAGAGCATAAGGTTGTCACCTTCGTTGCCGTCGAACATATCGACTTCCATTTGTATGGGTTTTGGTCTGCGGACCACTTCTTGCGCCATAGTCGCCATGAGCGAAGGCGCAGAAGAAGGCATCTCTGCCTTTACATGCTCGAATAGAGCTTTATTATATTTATCAAGCATATGAATATGCTGGTTAACCTCTTATTCGCCCTGGGCGATGAAGTACTTCACGCCTTTTGGGCCAAAGATAGGGAGCAGCTTCTGCAACCCTTCCTGTTGTGCCTGTGACAGGCCAACCGATGACATCTCGTCGATGTCCATTCTCACAAAGAGAAGTATTCGCAAACCCAGGTGTGGGGCTGGCTACGAGTGCTACCAGGTGTAGCCGAGCTACTGTAGCAAAGCTACTTACGCACTATATGCAGAGGAAGACAAGCTCAGAAAGCTTCTACGTCTTAGGGTGCTTAACCCTTCCTAGGCTAGCTCGTAAGCTTGTGCCTATCGGTTGTTAGAACCGGGTCTCAAAAAAAAAGTATCAAAGATACATTTCCTCATGAGGAATAGTAAGCTCAAGCAGTGATGCTTATAGAGCAGGTTTGAAACTGATTTATATTTATGTTTATCTTCTAACACTAAAAATAGAAGCACCTACTCTTAGTGCTAGTCACTATTTGCTGGCTCTATAGCCTATTGTTAATATGCAAAATGCATAGTCACTATATTTTGAATAATTATAGTGACCACGTGGCTCTGCCACGATGCGACCCTTCGTACTTCAGGTACGGTCACATCACCTACTTTTGTACCCAAGGTACAGCCACACCACATTGGTGTGGCAGGTATGTATGTAAAATACACACCTTTGTGTAACCCCGTTACATTTGACCACATTATTTTTCGTTGATATGTAAAAAAGCTTTAATATAAGAAAGTGGACAACTAGCGGCGTGTAATGAGTAAGGACTTTACACTCGGCGACGAGATGGTTGCAAATGAATCAAATGAAATATTAAGACATTACGAGCAATCGCAATAGGGTATACTAAGATGAAGTTGGCATAACTACTGATTTGATTTGCGGCATATTGTTGTTCAATCACTCAAGTTACTTAGATGTCAACAAAGCAGTAACCGGTTTTAAAAGAGTTGTTTATTGACGTCACAGCTACATAGCAATAACAAATAGCATGCATGTATCAGTGCAGTGTGCCTCGCAATGTGAAACATGTGGTGTTCGGTCGTGAAAAGACGTTCTTCGTCGTAACACCAAGCAATACATGCCAGTATCGAGGTATCGCGACCATGCCTTGAGTCTGTATGCTAAAACACACATCGAGCGCGTAAGATCTAAGAAGCAGATTATTGTTGTCATTGTTTTTTATGACGTGCACGAGCAGTTTTGTCTTCATAGTATCCTTTACAGAAAAGTCTATGGCTTTGCTGTCAAATAAAAACTAGATAGTAGTCCAATGGGCGCCCCAGCGGAGGTTGAAGAACTTTACTGCCGCGTTAGGGCTCTCAGCAAACACACAATCGGGTTCACCGCCAGGTTTCGGACAAGGACCGCGCTTAGCTCCAGGAATCGTTGGGTCATCACCGGTGTAGCTGTCTAGCCATTCCATGTTGGACTCGTAGTCCACCGAGATGCTCATTGCCAGCGTCATGCCCCCAGCTATGTCCTTGCCAATTTTCTTAAGTCCACCCCTATTCACCAGGCTTTCGCCAAATAAAGTCCTTGACGCTTTGCAGAACGAACTTGTGATTGAGCTAGAGTTTTCCAGCTTGGGATATACACTCATAGGAACTTTATCAAAAATTTTATCAAACTGCTTGAAAATGCGACGGATTTCAACTAACTCGCCAGTATCGCTGCCATCTCTCGTCAAAAACTGCGTGACAACCGTAAATGGTTTGGTCGTATCAATGTCGAATTTATCGCCAGGGCCGTAATTCATCGTATTGCCCATGCGGAACTGATTATAGCCGCAACCTGGCTTGTCACACCACCCGACGTTTCGACTTTCATCGTTAGCTCCGCAGTCTCCGTCAGTGAGACAACGATGTTGGTCCTTAATGGAGCAGGCATGAGTTGAATAAGATGTAGCCATGCTGTTAGCCTCCCAAACGGCCACCGTACTGCAGCAAGAACCGTAGGTTTGCTTGAGGTTGGCCTCACCATTAATGAATTTGACATCTTTCGGGCACTGGGCATTACAATAGCCAGTTCCATACGCTGCACCGGCGCGATTTGTAGGAAAACGCGAGGTACCACCATCGGGATCCATCTTGGTGAAGTAAAGCGCGGCGTTGGAACCACAGGGTAATGAAGAAACGTCTACGTCAAACGTAAATTCCTTGTTGAGCAGGTTGAATTGCTTGTATTTCTTACCCGACGCGTCCAGCATGTACACACGGGTGCCCACGCCTCCAGGAGTCTGAAGCTTCATCTTTATCTCCTTGCCTTTGGTCGTGATGCTGTGTGTACCTTTGTAGTCGGCACCTTCAAGTCCGCAATTTTTCGCACACGCCTCGGGAGTTGAACAAAACTCTGGATTCCACTTGCCATTTGTGTAGCAAGCGTCACTTGTCCCAACGGCGTTAACCGCACGCCAGTCGGCATCGAGCACAATTGACGATTCCTCATTTTCACATCGATTAACCTCTTCGTCGTTCTCTCGGTCAACCGTATCCAGCACTTCGGTAATTTTGGTACAAAATTGCATTGTCAGTGACGGGTGCACCTCAGAGATTTCGGTGCCAATTTGCTGACCGAGCGCAACTTGTGAAAGCACAATGAGTGCGAATCCAGCGATGGATCTTGGGAAGTTCATGAGCAGTCGAAGTGGGACGACAAGAGGACGTCCTTGAGCTTAAGCTGTCAAAATTGAAAATGATGTAGCTTTAGTCCGTTCAAATTGCTTTAGGCCACTTCACTTTCACCGTCGTGGAGCCAAAAGCTTATCTTTGTAATAGAAACGTAATGGTTAGAGCTGCAGGCACTACTACGTCATGCTTTGAGAACGATCTCCCCATCACACAGAACAGATGGTAAGTCCAGGAATCGCTGTATTCATTGTATCGATCACGATGTTCTATCAAACAGTCGGGGATGTTCGCGGACTTGTCATAATATCCTGAAAATCTACAAAACCATCTGGACCCTAGTATGCTTCAAACTATAAATTTCACGCCGTCTGCATAACTTGTCGCTCGATGCAAAGTCGGTAAAAGGCACCGCCAAAGCCAAACGTCTTACTATAATGGATATGAGTAGAGAAAGACACTGGCAGTACGTCAAGGATTGATGATGATTTGCTTTCGATTCCCTTGAATCCTATTTTGGTTTCGAGAATACATTTCAAACGCGTCACGTGCGACAGAGTGTGTACCACTATCAACGCGGAGCAGCATTGAATCCTCATATGCCTTGTTTGCTTGATGTGCAAACGTTTGCTGCATATAAAATTACCCGTACGACAACATATCATGTCTCCAGTTTGCACTTATTGCAGATCAATTCGTGTGGTGGATGTGACAGTGTTTTGTGTTGAGTATGATACACGTGGACGACACCTTACGTTTGATGAAAGTGAATAATCTATAGCGTTACTTATAGCTAGCTATAGGTGCGTCAAGAGCTCGCCACAGCTTTGGAAACAATATGGACAATTGCGTTGATCAACCTTATCACTAGGCTTTGGCAAACACCGTGTGGTCAAAGTTTTTTGCAACGCGTATATGGTCGTAGGTTCAGTGCTTGCCGTCCTGGCAACGACGATATTATTAATGCGTGAATCGAAGCCAAAACCGGATAAATTGACTCAGGAAATGTTACGAATTAGTCAACAGATGAAAATGTACAATGAAACGGCAGCAGCAGCGAAACCTCTTATTCTGTCAGCTAAAACACGTTGTTCTAGTGTTACTGAAAGCTCGGAGTATCCAGGTGGACGTGTCACAATTCTCTTTGGTTCTTAAACAGGTACAGCTGAAGGTTTTGCTGAAGTATTGAAGAAAGAAGGACGAAAAGGTATTTCGCTGCAAGCCAGCAAAACCGCCATTTGGTGACGGATCCAGCCTCAACTCCGGGCGCTCATCGAACGTCTCCATTGCCGGGCTGAAACGGCCGTTCGCGGAGCCCAACATTCTGCAGGATAAGACATTGTTAAGAAGGAACCGAAAGGTTCGGCTAGGATAGACGGGTAGTGACTCTAGCAATTGATCGGTCCTTGCTGCGCTTATCACGACCGGATCAGGAGGGAGGACAGCAGCAATACATGAAAGCGCTCACTAACTTGACTTCGGAGCCGATAAGCTGGACGACGCGAAGAAATGGGTATTAAAGCTCTCTCGACCGCTCATGCACTTGCCACCGCCAACGACACCAGAAGACGAAGTTATCTGGCCCACATACTTGTCAGCACGCAAGCAGCTTGAAATTTGACTATCATGGCAACGTCTTGTCAGCACGGAAGTACGACAAAATACGGCCCTGCGCTATGGCGGATCCACAGTGCAGCAGGTTGGGGTCCGAACGTATTCATTCGCCATTCCTGCGGTAGGGGCGTCGACGCATCAACAAACCGACCGGCGACATCGCGATTTTACTTAGCGCTATCAATTCAGATATTAGATGCTGCTTCAAGTCCGGCAAGACCTCGTACGACCTCGTACACGTCGCTTGGAGCATCTCACGAATGCAAGTATAACGGGCTACCATCGCTAGTTCTAGCATCCTCTAACCCGGCCAAGGGTGTCGCCGGGGATCTTGTGCCGCCTTGTTGTTCCTCAACATTGGGACACTTTTGCTATCCATTTGTGTGTCGCATTACAAAAGATCCAAGCTTGTAATACACTACTATAGATGTCTTTGCGTTGAGATAGCCAATACTATGGCAGATTTTAACCGTTGCGCATTGAGGCCAAAACGACCCAATCTGCCCGTTCAAGTGTGTACAAAAGCGCTGGGTTGATCTTTTGGCGGCCAGCCTCTGTGCTGCTCAAGTGTTTTCTTAGAATTTTTCTGAAGGTTGCGTAGCTGTTGTTCCGCCCATATTGGTGTCTCAAAGACTGCCGCCGTAAAGCTCACTGCTGGGATCATGATTACGTTCAGAAGTAATACTCTGAAATCGACGCCTGTTGCGAGTTGAGTCGCTGTTGCCAGTCGACGTTGTACATTTCGAAGACGTGCAGCTCAGTTCACATCGGCGAGATGACCTGTTCCAACGGCGTATCCTAAATATCGCACCGTATCGCCAAGCGGCATAACCGGTATTCCACAGAATTCCTGCGTTTTCATTGCTCTGCTTAGTAAATGACTTGCGTTTAGTTAGTTAGGCGCTTAAGCCAGATAAGCACCCAAACGACTCCCCGATGTCCATCACTCTTGGCAGCTTGGTGCGTCTCGTGCATAAATACCGTGAGTCGTCGACAAACGTTGAAAACTTATCGACCACCCCCTTCTTCGAGGAGTAATAAGCCGGTGATCTGGCTATCATATTAAAATCTTGCACGAGGATTTCCGCCAAAATAACGAAAATCACCCCGTAGCCGCAAGTAAGTGCGCAGCCGACACCATTCATTACGATCATCAGTGAATAACAAATTCGTCGCGTGGTATTGGACAGGATCCAAAAATCCAACCGTAAAACTACGTGCCCGTCAATTTGTCAAGAGTCCTGCTGCAGTAGGCCGCTAACTGCGCTGGCAAGATGCCCCGTCGCGAGGTGATCATTTACGTTTCTAGCATTTGAGAACCTTCTCCGGGTATGGAAGCTTCTACACCATAGTGAAGAAGGTGAGCTGGCTCCTGTTTAGCAACGCGCATCCATTCCACGGTGCTACTCCGCTTTAGCGGATGAAGAGCTTAAGCCATTGTCAGCCAGAAAGCTGCGTGGTGTTGCCAGAGGGCCGGCTATGCAGCGCAAGTGTCGTGGAGGTTATCGTACACACTGGAGGATATACATTTGCCATGGGCTATACCCATGGCAAATGTTTACCGGTGCTAAACGGTTTATCCGTATCAGAACCAGCGATTGTCATTAGAATAAGGATGTGCGCGGAAGGATATATAGCTGTAGCTGTTGGCAGAGGTCCTGATTATTGGCTACAGAGAATATTAGCTACGCCAAAGCCGAATTAAGTCAGATTAGTCATAATACTAAAATGTAATACTAAATCTGTATAAATACATAGCCTGAGTAAAAAGATCGCTTTCAATATTGCATTGAAAGGTGATATGTTTATAGCTTATCGTTGAAATATGTTTATAGCTTATCGTTGAAATATGTTTGTTGTAAGTAAAAAAGTATTGCTTAATATTACCACAAATTTGACTAATCTCAATGGTTTCACTGAATATCTTCTAATGATAAAAGCGCAATTGCGACCGATCACTTATACCTCATTTTGTTTTCTATCATATTATCACGGCGTCTTCGCGCCACGCTTCACTGTATCAACAACAACAACTTGCTATAATCGACAATTTGGTTGCTAATTAATCAAATTATATAATTCTTTGAATTTAAGAGATAAATCTTAAGCTTTAATTAAGATTTAAAAAAGTTTTGATTTCAAATATATTTAATCTATAAATGCACCAATTTGTAAAAATAATCATTTATTTGAAAATAGGGATAAAGTAATACTTAATGTCTGCAACTCATAAATAACCCATTGAATTTGAAGTAAAGTAAAATAAATTACTAAAAACAATTAAAATGTCTTTAGCATCTTTTACTATTAATTTTTATACAAAACAGTGCTAATTACGCCCGAGTCAGCTCATGGAAGTGTGCAAGCGTTTAATCTGGGTCTATTTCCCCTTGGCACATGTTATTGCGACGGCGTCTGCACGCTTCAAATGAACCGAACGCCTAACAACTATATCAAAACGACATAAACACAGGTAAAACGTCTGGTATGGTGACCCCGCAGCATTGCCAGACAATCCCGACTAACGTCATTGCCGATGTCCAGCCCTTTGCAATGATTGAACTTGAGAGAGCACTTGCGTTGTTATCCAGGCTTACAGACGACTAGACACCTTACTCTTTTATAACGTTTCAAATAAACAGGGACCCATTTCTTACTTCAATGATCTTATGGAACAAGTCCATTCCTTTTTACAATAAGTATCCCTCTTGGATTCGAGTTCCATATCGATCTAAGGCCAACGCTCAATTTCCAGCTAAAAAAAAAATCGATATCATTTCTACATGGCCTATTGTGTCCATTTGCGTACCGTGCACTAGCAGCTTGCAACCTCGTGGGACTCACCAATGTCATTCGTTTATCAGTATTCCACACCATTTTACAAACGACTAAATTTACTAACTGATGACAATCGCCTCGATCACCCGGTCTGTCCACGATAGTCCGTGAACGCCTCAACCGTGCTTAGCTTGACGAGACGGCCGCTTACATGGACGTGTGGCAGCGCCTA